ATGTAAATGCACATTGTTGGATCTTTTTTTTCTTTTTGACAATGTAATACAGGATATTCTACAAAGAAAATCTATATGAAAATTAGAATAATCAGACATTCTCTTGCTTGCAACTGAACCCTAGAACCCTACTATACTGCAGTAGTACTGCCAAGAGAAAGGATAATAGCATCAGAGACTCAGCTGACCTGACAACCTATTTAACAAAATCATCCAATTTATTACTGCAACATTTCCCTTAAAACTCTTCACTTTTAGAATCATTGTGAAAATGGCAGGAGGCAGAATTAGCAGTTATTGATATATATTCACTACTTAAATTATTTTTTATATCAGAGAGCATTTAATATATTTGAATAAAGATACAGAACTTAGTTCATATGATGATTTTGAATTTGCATTTAAGATAGTTTGTTTCAACTCATAGCAACTCATTCAATGTGTGCTATAATATGACTAAAAGCAAATTTGCAAATACCTCATTTGTTGTCTTTGAGCTTTCAACTTATTTAACACACTGTTGATGATGATGCTTATTAAACCTAATTAAATAAAAAGCTTTTTCTGGAGCTACATGTTAATTTATAAAGGAAAAAATTGCAGATTTTTAAAGAAAAGGTAACATTTTTATCAGATGTTGTAAGGAATTAAAATTGAATATCATTACAATACCAATCACTGTATGCAAAAAAAGAGAAAGCTTTATGTTTGTCAAAGAAGTACAAAGTATACATTTTGAAGATACATTCTGATTAATGTCCAGAATAAGTTAAAAATCAGTTATGAGTTTATATTTAAAAATAAGGCAAAACAATATGAAATTTGAAATATCCTGTATGCATACTTACATAATTTTTTCTTATACAATTAAACCTCAGTATAAAGTAAAATAATTGGAAAAGTACAACCAAAATTTGAATTTTCATAATTTAAGTGTAATGACTTCATTAGAAAGAGAAAGTTTTTGAAGGTGAAAATTCACCTGCCAGGTGGCTCTACTTTTGAGAAGATGAATGAAAATTTTAATTAAATATCTAATTCCAAAATGATGTGATAGTTTATTTTAGCCCAACTTGCAAAGTTCTTAAAAGTTTAAGATTAGTGCCTTCAAATTATCAACCTCAATATTTGAAATGGAAAAAAAATATATAGCAAAATTTAATTTTCCAAACTTGACCTAAAAAAAAATTAACTGTTTCTGTGACCAGAGAGAATGTAATTTTGACAAGAATTAGATACATGCATTTTAAGCTAATAAAATTAATTTGATGTTTTATTACCATTAAAAGCAAAACATTCTTTCAGATTTTTTTTCTTATTTGATATTAGTTATACTAAATTCTACATTGACAGAATGACTCTGAAGACAAACACACTTTCTTAGAGAAAGAGAGACTGATCTCCTGTTAGTTTATACCATTCAATTTTCTATTTAGCCAAATCTCAGCCTCCAAAATAAAGCCTGTAAAAGTTGGATCAAGGAACATTTGTGAATAAGGAGAAATGGAAGAGAGGAACTGGTATAAGATTGAAGCAGGGGAAAAGAGCAATTATATAAAATGAGATTTCTTATTTGGGAATGACAGAGGAATCCCCCAGGGAAGTCTTTCATTTGTCAAGAATAGGAAAAAAAAAAGAGAGAAATTGAGTATATTTTGTAGAATTAAACTGATTCCCTGGAAATAACAAGAGCCTTGCCTTACTTCAATACACATTAAAATCAGGAACCAGATGCAAACCATAATCTCTAAAACATGCATCAAAGAACTGGGTTTCTTATTGTATAATAGTTTATTCTCTTTTTGCACTATCATATCATTGAGATAGATACAGAAGATTAACTTCCTTGAAAGGAAAGTCGGTATTCTGCATGGTCAATAGGACTCTTTCATACCTGAGACTCTGCATGTGATTGATTACCTCACAGCATGACATGTGACTTCTGGAGTCTTTCTTGGGGAGAGAGACAGAGGGAAAGAGAAACCAAAGATAGAATTGCAGTGTTTTATAAATTAATCTTAAAAACAACAGCCCATCAATTGCTTTCAGATTCTACTTATTAGTAATGAGTCACTTAGAAATGCTCAGTAGTTGTCAAGATTAATTAATAACGGTATCCCCAAATATTAACATTCTACATAAATATAGTACATACTTTAATCAACTAACATTTGTTAGACTTTAGTCATATTTTGTTAACATTAATAACACTTCATTAGTATTTCATTGTATCGTCTACTAATGTCCTTTCACTATCCTAGGATTCAATCTAGAAGACTCCCTTGTATTTAGCAATCATGTCTACTTAGTCTCCTCTAGTCTATGACAGGTTCTCATTATTTCCTTGTATTTCTGTCCTTGGCACTTATGGCAAGTACCTCTCAGATATTTTGTAGAATGTCCTTTTATTTCATTTGGTGTAATATTTTCTCACAAATAGACTGTGATTGTGAATTTTGTAAAAGGATACAAACTAGGATATATTATGAGCATAATGTATGACTGTTGATGTGAACTTTGCTTTTTTGGTTGTGGTGGTGTTTGCCAAGATTTTTCACTATAATATTACTCTTTTCTCTCATGTACTTTGTTCTTTAAATGCTAGTCACTATAAACAGCCCTTAAAATAGACTGTACAACATTATTTGATAGGCTCAATTATAATACCATTACAAAGGTATTTAAATATGATCAAGAGTCAGATTCATGTGATTTTGACACTGTTAAGATATTTTAATACTTCTTCAATATTATATATAATATGCATACCCATTGTCATAGAATTGTGAGAAATTATATTAACAAGTGATAAAATTCCCCCAATTAGAATTACAGATTCAGCAACCAATACAAATCCTAATACTTTTCTGAGATCCAGATTACTTATAATAACTAATACAATATAAATGAAATGTAAATAGTTTACAATGTATGGTTTAGGGAACAATGACAAGAAGTTTATAGATGTTTAGCATGGAAACCCTTTTCTCAAATGTTTTTTTATCTACATTTGATTGAATCGACGAATGTGGAAAACTAAATATGGAGAGCAAACCATAATGGAAACAGTCCATTTTATATATAAATCATTACTCTATGTCAGGAATGGAATCACTTTCTTTTTTTTTTTTTTTTTTAGTTGTTGATGGACCTCCATTAATTTATTCATTCCTTCATTTATTTATTTATATGTGATGCTGAGAATCCAAATTCAGTGACTCACACCTGGTAGACAGGCACCCTGCCACTGAGCTACAACTCCAACCCCATCACTTTCTATTTGTATTCTAAATCAGGTAAAATTTCAGTGAGGATCTAAGACTATGTCCAAGAAGTAAAGTAAAAAGATCAACCAACAATGCTTGCTGGGAGAGAAAGAAAGAGGTCAAAGATTTTTGTGTCCTGCGTTAATTATGCTCCATGCAGTTGCACATGCTCAGTTTAAATGCTCCTTTCAGTCCTATTTGAGCTCAGTATTTCCTCATTAGTCCAGTTTTTTGTACTTGTAAGAAACTGGATCAAGCTCAGAATAATCTAAGGAAAAATGAATCAGATTTGATTTGACTGGCTAACCTAATTGCTATTCTTGGGGTTAGATTTATGTCCAGAAACAGGCAAAAACTAAGGCTTTCTCAAATCTACCCTGCCACAGTCTAGCTGGGCACAAATCACGAGCCACTGAAGCAGGAACAAATTTTATTTCTGAACTCCACCAGCACACTCCACACATGCTCCCGGGAAAAATGCAGAATGCCATGCCACACCAGTGGCTCTTCCCAGGACACACAACACCAACAGGAAATTCCTCCTCCAGAATTCCCTCCTACTGCACTTCCCCAACCAATGGGAACTCTCCAGGAGTCCCCAGAGAGCTCCAAAATAGCAGGCCTAGGCAGACAGCAGGGGTCTAATCTCCAATTGAATGCACATCTTAACATAATCATTATCATCTCAATGGCTTGCTGGGGTCACCTTTCAACCAAAAATGCCATGCATCATTCCTACTTGGCTATGGCTCTCAGCACTACCCAATCTCTCTTTTGCTCTCTGTTGCTTTCCTTTCAATGTACTATCTCTGTGTGGAAAATGTGACTAAGAAGAATTCTAGGATTTTGGTCTATCAACATAGAACCTCCAGCAGAAAATAAAAACAAAAACAAAACAAAAATAATTCTGGGGCTGGGGATACAGCTCAGTTGGTAGACTTGCTTGCCTCATAAACACAATATTGTGGGTTCAGTTCCCAGCACTACCAAAAAAGGAAAGGAAGGAAGGAAGGAAGGAAGGAAGGAAGGAAGGAAGGAAGGACAGAAGGAAGGAAGAAAGAAAACAAAAAAAAAATCTTTCCTCACTGTCACAGAATGAATTAAACAGTACTCTAATTTATTTAATTCAGAATGCATATTTACCTGCAGTGGCGGAGGATAACGAAATCCAACAGAATAGTGTGAACTAATAGCCAAGAAGTGGCCTGAAATCCTTATAATTTCAGTGAAAATTTAGGAAATGCGATGGATGAATCTTTATATGTCCTCATAATTCATATCTTAAAATCCTAACCCCTAACAAGACAATCTTAGCAGGTAGGAGTCTCTAGGAGGTGACTGGTTCATGCAAGCAGAACCCCATAATTGTGATCAGTGCCCTTAAAAGAGACTCAAAAAATCTCTTCTTCTTGTGTCATATGAGGACATAAGAAAAAGACGGGCAACTATGAACCAGAAACTGGAGCCTCTTCAGACACTCAATCGGCCAGCACCTGAAAGTTAGACTTCCCAATTTCTAGAACTGTGAGAAAGGTTGTTAGGATACTTTGCCACTGGAGTGTGAGTCCATTAAAACAAAGTACATCCACCTAAAAAGGGGCAAAAAAGCCAAAGATCATAGTGACAGAAGTATCAACTAAAATGGTACCTTGCTATTCCAGTGCATTCCTTTTCCACTGCTATGAAAGAAGTTACCACCAACTCTTCTTGACTGTAAATGTTACCCCTTATTACCTGGCAGAATTGGTGAGAAATCCCAGTGTAATTGGGCTAGCCCTCTGTTTAGATCCTCCCAAGACTTGAATCAAGATGTAAGCCTAGAAGTAGCCCAATTTAATATTCACAACAGTATTCTAGGCTCAATAATTATTGATGGAATTCACTTCCTTGTGAACATAGGTCTGACTGAATCCCTTAGATCTTTGAGGCCTCCCATTGTGATCTGTCATATGACATGGCACTTTGCTTTTCCAGGTCAGAAGGACTCTGCCTGGGTTGCTTCAGTGTCTCTGATATAGAGATTTGCTTTAAAGAACTGAGTTGTTTATGTCAGGGCCTGACACAAGGGGTGAAAATTTGCCTTTTGATTAACTGAAATTTAACTGATTAGAGACTCACATCTGCAAGGCTCCCTCACCTTTGTCTTTAAGCAGCATGATCACAAAGCAGGAAACTTGGTGACCATTTTAGAATCCTTGTTACTGCATCCATAAAATCAACATTATCTTCATAAAAATTAAGTGAACAACTATAATGTAGACTCATACTTTTTAAATAAGAAGAAAATTTTGGAGGTTGTTTTCCTCTGGCATCTCTGTTTTCTTTACCATAAAGGATTCATTGTGTTTTATTTTTTTTAAAAAAATAATTTGCAGTTAAGACAATTTAAACCTGCATAGAAATATACAAATACACATAAGAATCTGCTTGCACCAAGGTTTAAAACCTTGTTTTGTTGTGATCATCTGAACTTAACCATAGCCAAGACATTTTTAAATCAATTTGCTAAAAATCAAGTATAAGATGTATCAAATGCTTACATAAAAGGTATCTATTCTGGAGAAAATCTGAACTTCTAGTAGAAACAATAGTAATCTGTGGTGATCCTGCCAGGAGATGTTCCTAGGCGCCCAGTTCCTAACCCAAAGATAGTAAATGGAGAGGCTCTGCCTGGGCATGACAACAGCACTAAGTGCATCTGGATCTCAATCCTTAAAGGATACCTTCTTAATTTCAAGGACTAGACAATACCTACCCCCGGCAGAATTGTTGATGGAAATGTAGCAATCTTGGAGCTGGATGAGTGAAGAGGATGAGGGGCTGAACTAGTCAGAGTTTGCAATTATCATTGGAGAAAGATTATTTATGGCAGCACGTGCAGATGAGAAGCAAGGAAGAGAAGGTTAAAGTCAGCCATACTCCTGGTTGACCCAAAGAATTCATAAATGCACCAAAAATATGACCTTATAGAGAACAAATTATGAAGATCCACTTGAGAACAGCCAGAACTCTTTTTTTTACTACTGCCTATGAATATATCAGCAGATATCTCATGCATTACTTGTTAGAGGTGGTTGAACACAACATCTTTCGGATCAGAGTCATACTTCTACACTGCAAAGGGTCAGTGGTGATCTCTAAAGAGCCAGTCTGAAATGTAAAAACAATATCTAAACGAGTAAAATACAGGTAGAAGTAGTAGATATTAGTGTCTCTTTACAATATGAGAATGAGATTTGGCTCGTTTTCCAGTGCAAGTTACTTAAAAACAACAACAACAAAATACTAATAAAGATATAACAACATGGCCTTCAGGAGAAAAAAAAAATCAAACTCTAGAATGGCCAAAATAATATTACCTAAATTATCCAATTTTTTTAATAAAAATATAAGACATGAAAATAAATAAAAGTATACTAATTCAGCATGATGGTACATGCCTGTAATCCAAGTGACTTTTTTGAGACAGAGGAGGATTGAAAGTTCAAAACCAGACTGGGTAACATAGCAAGACCCTGTCTCATTTTTTTTTTTCAAAAAGGGGAATGATTTTCTGTATTCTTGATAACTGCCATTCTGAATGGCATGAAATGAAATCTTAGTTTTGATTTGCATTTCTCTAATTACTAAAGATGTTGAACATTTTTTTTTCATATATTTGTTGATCAAATGTGTATCTTCTTCTGAGAAGTGTCTGTGATAAATGTGGGAGAGGATGTGGGGGAAAAGGCACACTCACACATTGCTGGAGAGACTGCAAATTGATGTAACTGATGTGGAAAGCAGTATGGGGACTCCTTAGAAAACTTGGAATGGAACCACCATTTGACCCAGCTATCCCATTCCTTGGTCTATACCCAGAGGACTTAAAATCAGCCTACTATAATAATGCAGCCACATCAATGTTCATAGCAACTCAATTCCCAATAGGTAATCTGTGGGAGAAACCTAGATGCCTTTCAATAGATGAATGGGTAAGAAACTCTGGTATATATACATAATAGAATGTTACTCAGCATAAAAAAGAGAATAAAATTATGCATTTGCAGGTAAATGGAATTGGAGAATAACATGCTAAGCAAAGTAAGCCAATCCCAAAACCCAAATGCCAAATGTTCTCTCTGATAAGTGGATGCTGATCTATAATGGGTTAGAGGAGGAATGGATAAAATAGAGGAACTTTTTGCAAAGGGGAGCTTACATGGAGGCAGGAAAGATGGTGGAATGAGATGGACATCATTAACCTAGGTACATGTATGACTGCACATATGGTATTACATTCTATCATGTACAACCAGAGAAATGAAAAATTGTGCTGCAATTGTGTACAAGGAATCAAAATGCATTCTGCTGTCATATATACCTAATTAAAATAAGTAAATTAATAAAAAAGGAGGATGGGTTAGGGACTGGGTATATAACTTATTAGTAAAGAACTCCTGGGTTCCATCCCAACAACCAAAAATAAATTAAAAATAAATAACATATTAATTTCCTGGGAGCGTTGAAAAAAATGTTTATAGACATTGTGTTAGATACAGAATTAAGCAAATATTTCAATATAGCTATTCTAAAAAATTTCCAAGAACAAAAGCAAGTAATATTTATAACTAAAATATATATCAATAATAATTCAACAAAGACTGTTAATAATGAAAATAGAAATGGTAAAATAAAGAAATGGAAACTCTGTAGTAAAAAATCATAATAACTGAATTTTAAAAAAAGTAACAGTAAAACAACAGAAAATCTGAGGTTGCAGAAGGAAAAAAAATGAACAGGAAGATAGATCAGTGGGATTTATCCAAAGGGAAGAAAACAAAATAATGATTTTTTTAAAAATAAATTAACAGAGGTTTGGAGAACTGTAATGGCAAACAAACTGACACTCTTGAAAAGGGAACCCTAAAGGAATAAGAGAGAGAGAGAAAAGGTGAGGGGGTAGAGTAGAAGAAATATTAATCAAAAAGTGGAAGATGCACATTAATGTAGACTTCAAAGTAGTTCTAAATCCAGAGCACTGAAAATAAATTCACACTCAGACTGTTGAAATATTGAATAAGTATTGAATAAATTAGGGGAAACATGAGGAACCATGATTCACCATGTACAGAGAAGACTCAGTATGATTGATCAATGCTGATTTCTCATCTGAAACTATGGAGATCAGAAGGTAGTAAAATGACATGTTAAAATATTTTATTTGTAGAGCAATTTCATGTTTGCATAAAATATGATCACGGAATGCATATATTTCCATAAACCCTCAATCTCCACACCCAATTCTGAAAGTTTCTATTATCATTAACAACTTTCAATAGTAAAGTTGTTAAATTTATTTTGATTAATGAAGCAATATTGACAAACTATGAGTAATTAAAGGGTGTAGTTTGCATTAGCCCACTTTGGGTATGTACACTAGAATCGGCTACTTGTGTTGCATAGCTGCACAGATTTTGAAAAATATATAAAATGAACACTCTACTTTGATAATTTCATTCAGAATAGTTATACATCCCTAAAAAAAATTCCCTGTGCTTAACATATTCTTTCCTCCATCCTTCTAACTGAATTTCTGGGAATGATCAATCTTAAAATGCTTTATCACAAAGTGATTTAGGTGTAATCATGCAGAATGTGGTCTTTTCATATTGCCGTCTTTCACTTAGCAAAATGCACCTAATTTTCTCCATGTCTGGTCGTGACTTTATAACTCATATTTAGCACTGAATAATATTCAATTGCATGTATGTGTCACAATTTGTTCATCCATGCATATATTGAGGGACATTTTTGTTACTGACAACTTTTAGTGATTATGAATAAAGTTATTCCAAGTACTTATGTGCAGACTTTTGTATGGACTTAAGTTTTCATCCCATCTGGATAAATACATAGAATCATAATTGGTGGATCATATGGTGAGAATATGTTTAACTCTGTAAGAAACTGCCAATCTCTTTCAAACTGCCATACCAGTTTGCATACCTACTACTACATTTTATGGGGTGGCTCTTGCTTTAAATCCTCACTAGCTTTGATGGTTTTGATTTTACTCATTCTGATAGGTGTGTAGCAGTATCTCATTTTGGTTTTACTTTGCATTTACTAATGACATGTTATGCCAATCAAATGCTATCTTGTCTTGAAAACTATTGTGTACTGTTCTATAATATAAGAATACATAGTTATTATTATGACACACTTAGGTGAACACTGATTTTTTCTCACTAATGGAAATAATCTCATAAAAAATCAATTTTACATGCATGCCTTACATTTACATGAATAATTAATGAGGGAGGATTTCATCAATTCAACTTGGCTCATGGAAGATATGAACTTTAACTTTTTTTTTTTGCATCTTCATACATGTAATTTGGATAATGAATACCATGACATTCCACCATAATTTCTAACCTTGTAATCACCCTTTCCCCTCCCACCCCTAAGCCCTATCTAGAGTTTGTCTATTCCTCCCATGCTCCCCTTCCCTACCCTACTATGAATCAGCCTCCTTATTTCAAAGAAAACATTCAGCATTTGGTTTTGAGGGATTTTCTATCTTAACTTAGCATTATCTCCTCCAATTCTATCCATTTACCTGCAAATGCCATGATTTTATTCTCTTTTATTGCTGAACAATATTCCATTGTGTATATATGCCACATTTTTTTTAGTTCATTCATCTGATGAAGGGCATCTAGGTTGGTTCCACAGTTTAGCTATTGTGAATTGTGTTGCTATAAACAATGATGTGACTGTGTCCTTGTAGAATGCTGTTTTTTTTTTTTTTTTTATTGGTTGTTCAAATAAACCAATAAGGTTAACAACGGATTTTTCATCACAGACGCTAAAAGCGAGAAGATCCTGGAACAACGTATTTCAAACACTGAAAGACAATAGTTGCCAACCAAGA